TATGTATGAAACATTTGTGATACTTACAAATCAAGTGGTTTCTTGGACGGCTTAATTTCATCTCGTGGTTTCTTGCACGGCTTAATTTCGTCTCGTGGAACGTAGTAATTCACGCGTTTGCAACCGTTGCTGGTGCTTCCTTCAGCGGAGTACATTTTGTCTCTCGGTTATGAGAAGTGGACCGTTGGTACTAGCAGTTGACGCGACACTGATCGTATAAAAATTAACCGAGTATACGTGACGCTTATTTTTCAAAAATATGATGTGGTTGGAGATTAATGCTCTGAAAATTTAGGAGAAGGGGAAACGACTAACGTATGATGTTGTGGGAGATTAATGCTCTGAAAATTTAGGAGAAGGGGAAACGACCAACGTATGATGTGGTGGGAGATTAATGCTCTGAAAATTTAGGAGAAGGGGAAACGTATGATGTGGTAGGAGATTAATGCTCTGAAAATTTAAGAGAAGAGGAAACGACCAACGTTAAAAAGAATTCTTAGAAACGACTCGCGAGGAAAGGAGTGGGGGAAAATGAGAAATAAAAAAACATTAATTACGTTTAAACATTTTATTTTTAAAATATCGCGATTCTTTTTGGCGTTGCGACCACCAGTTAAATATTTTTAATACATTCTGTAATGCGCAATTCTTAACATGTTTTCCACGTCGTATAGTATTAGTAACATCTAGATTATTTAAAGATTCAATATCTTCATAATCAGCATCCAAAGTCTCGATGATTAGGTTTTTGCTCGCATAATTCTCAAGCAAATCCACCAGCCATTCTCGTTTCTGGCATCCCTTGACGTACACGAGAGTCGACGTCTCGTCATTCTCTTCTGTACCAAGCACGGCCGATGTAATCAAGCGTTTAGCCATGCTGTATGGCACGTTTCCGTCTTCCCATCGTAATCCATGGTGATTCGCGATCAGCCAGGAAGCGCATGACTTGTCGGATTTTGTGAGGAGATTCCATGGTAAAAGGTATGTAAAAATGTAATGCGCCAGAACGGTCCCCTTTCTCAGCACCGCCATCTCCTTTACAAATTTCATACCGACGAGGAATCCTTGCAGGTCCACGAACGTTGGTACGGACATAACGTTTTTTATATCAGCACGTCAAGAGGAAGATTGCGATTGATCTTGATGCATTATAGGTTTTATATCGTCTCATTCCACCACACACTTAGGTGATTTTGCGCACAACGTTGGTCAACGGGTTGTACTGAATCACGCGATCGTGTATGATGAGACAGTACGCAGTGGTATTCGGCGGTACGTTCTCCTTACACTTGAATTCCAATCTCACATCCACGGTTGCGCTCTTGACTGATTCGTTTTGTCGAGAGCAATCGATGATCACGAACGGACCGTAAAGTAGAAACTGCAAGACGGTGAGACTCGGTTCGAGATACTCGTATCCGTAATAGTTCTTGCAGAAACGCTGGTACGTGTCGTACAGAATCGACCATCTGTTTTTATCGAAATCCAGATTCATGTCGTTGTACGGATAACATTTCGAGTTCAGATAGAGTTTTACGTTGTTCAATTTGCAGTATTGCAGACTCGTATCCTTGGACATGACGTTCTTCCGGCCTGTCTGCAGGGCGAAGACAACGTATCGCGGTTTCTCCAGCTGAGTCGCGGTTTTAATGGGCCACGAATGCTTGGTTGTACGCTGCAATAGCGGAAATTCGTACAGATCCCACGAGCGAAAACCCATGCTGAGGTATCGTCCGCTTTCCAAGGCGCGCAGCATCGACAGCTTATTGATCTCGTTCAATACCACGTGTGGCATTCGCCATTGTATCTTGAATATGTCGATCACAGGCTCCAGTGCCAAATTTCCAATCAGACAATTGTTGTCGTTGCGCGATCGTATAAGATCAACTCGTGACGAGCGTTAATCACCACGCGTCTGTAATCCTCGCAAAATCCCAATAACATGTAGAGCGGTACGCAAAAATTGAAGTATCCATTCGCGTTAGTCTGCGCATCCCAGCCGGCGTTCCTCATAATCACGGTTTTATTGGATGATATCGTTACGTAGTTCTTGAGTGTACTAGTTATTCCAACATTTCTGTTACGATCAATCTCCACACTGTCGAGTTCGTATCAAATCTCATCAAACATGAACGCGACGCAATTATTTCCCAGTACCACATTAGATCCTTCAGCCGATTCGTTTATCACTAGTTTTCCCTCGATGTATAGAAAACTTTCATACGGCAACGTATACAGATCCTGTTGTATGGGTATTCGTATCTCGTCGCTGTGCTCAAACGTCGTGTTGGCGTACGGGTTGTACGTGTGAGTCTCGATCTTGACGATACGATTGTCAAAGACCGGCTCGCCTTCGATGTTAAGGATATCAGTCATGTTTTCTCAGATATTTCGCACCGCAAATCCCAAAGATTGTAAAAATTCAACGTTCGACGCGTTGAGTTTCTTTTTCTTGGTGCAACCGGATGATTGGATATTAGCGAATGTTGACGTTGCTGTCGCTGGCCTCGCGTTATCTCTCGCATCTTTCGATCCGCCCAACACGAGCATCTCATGTATTGCACGCTAATTTTGCCGCCGTCATACGTGCAATCTGATGGTGATCTCTTCTCCTCGAAAATCGAGCAATCGTCCGTCTTGATCCGCTACGCGTATCGTTAAATCCGTAATGCTCCGCGCGATGATCGGCAGGTAAATGATCTTCGCCGGCGTTTCCGATATCTTATATCCCGGTGGTAATCTCGGTGAAAATTCATGTATCGTATGAACGAGTTTGCTGTTGCTGTGCTCTACAACCTTGTTCTCGTCACCGTCGTCATTCGTCCAAATATACGCGATGTCAAGTCGCGGACGTTTTCGTGAAATTGCACGTTTCAAAAACTCATGTACGGCGTGTATCTCGTACAATCCCTCGGGAATCGTAATTTCCGTGTCATCCTCATCGAAATAAAATTTATTATTCGAGAAATTCACGTTCGGCATCGTATGATAAGTTTCAAAGTCCGTTAGACCAAACTCGTAATCACCGTCGCTCAAATCTACGGCTGGATGGTAGTGTGCCGCGAGGACGCTACTCTTCCCGGTCAGCGTGAATGTCATAGACATGTCGACAAAACTGTTTAACGAATACTGAGTCTTAACGGCGCATCGTCAGACTTTAAATTCACGCCGATCGTCGTCGACCGTTCGGAGAAACTGCATTCACAATTGTCCGCAGATGCTCTGATCGTAAGTTTGAACAGGTGTGTGATTGTACTCGATCTTCGTCACGTTCCGCCCGAAATATCGCACCAATTCATTCGATGGTCGAAGATTGCTAAAACCGTCGAAATACATCACGCGATTTCCCCTCTTTGCGTAGGCAACCCAATGAATACCTGGTCCTTTGGTGTTATCCAAATTCACGATACCGCTCTCGTTTCGATATATACCACCGATCGGTAAAGAATCACGCATAAAAACACCTCTAAAGAATGGTATACGCATACGTTTCGCCAGTTGCAGCAATTATACATTGGTAGTTACGTCCTGTGGCATTTTTAGCGTCTCTTTGACATTTTTTTTCTCGTTGGAACTCCTTGTCCACGTTTGTACGGGCCGAGATACAGTCCCTGTACGTGTTTGTACGGAGCAAGATAAAGTCCGCGACCTTCCATCGCGCGATCGTGACGTTGCAACTCCTCCAGCTGACGCCGCGCGGCTTTGCTGTCGTTCACCGCCTTTGCCACGCTAGCCGCTCCACCGATCAAGGATCCAAGCCCGCCCAATATGGGTAGAATCGGCAATACACCGCCTCGTTTCGCTGTCGGAAGTATCCGTTTTTTCGTCGGCCTTTTTCTCGTAATCTTTGTCTTCGTCATCGTCTTCATACCCATATCGAGCTTCGTCTTGGCTTTCATCGCTATCCAGACAGCTATGGCTGCGGCTCTCTCACCCAGAGTGGAATCTGTCGCGGCGATACGTCTTCGCGCCCTCTCGGCGAGTATTCTGTCAGCCGCGTGTCTCTCGATGAGATCGGTGCTCCGAGAATACGCAATGACGTGCTCGCGGCACGCCGCGTCCAATGGATTTATACCCCAATCGCCTCTCGCCAATCGTTTTTCCGAATGAGTGTCCGGGCCGCAAAACTGATAGTCGAGGATATGTAACTCGAAAGGAAAGGCGTTTATCGCACGATTTAATAGGCCTCTACCTATTTTCGTTGACATTCGCCGCAATCTTTTATCAACGGTGCTAGGCCGTCGATATCCGTTTGCTGCCACGGTTGATTGTAATGTTCGTAACAGCGACGATATTGTTGAACCTCCAAATCCGCCTTCATATGTTCCGGAAGCTTGTCCCACAGGTAGTGGACGTGATTGCCGCACATTCGCAGCAGAATGACTTTCGACACAAATTGTAACTGTTCGGCGCTCAAATCGCAAATATCGGAAGGTCTCGATAACAGGACGAATATTTTTGCTACTGAGCGATTTGCGGTTCCGCGCACCTATAAATAGGCGTTTGATTCAGCATCCCTCTCAGTCGGCGGCATGAAAATGAGATTCGTGCAAATAAACGTTAGAGATACGCGTGACGAATTGCGACGATAGATTACGATCGATGGGGGGCAACACAGAGATGCGCAGACACGGTACGATGCTACCGACTACTATACGCGCGATTGTTTACGGTCCCTCGAATTGCGGTAAAACAAACGTTCTGATAAGCCTGCTAGAAAGTCCGCACGGTGTACGTTTCGAGAACGTGTACATGTACTCGAAGTCGTTGCAACAGCCGAAATATCGATATCTGGAGTATTTGTTGACATCGATCGACGAAATCGGCTACTTCACGTTCTCCAACAACAGTGACGTCATTCCGGCGAGCGAGGCGCGCCCAAACTCGATCTTCGTGTTCGATGACGTGTGATAAGCAAGATGCTGTGAGAAAATACTTCTCAATGGGCCGGTACTTGAGAGTCGACTGTTTTTATCTCTGTCAGACGTACGCGAGAATACCTAAACATCTGATACACGACAACGCGAACCTGCTGATCCTGTTCAAACAGGATGGTACCAACCTTTCGTTGCCGATACCTCGTCGGGGGTGAAACGTGAGAGAAAGATCGATACTTTGCTTTTCCCGCAATGGCTGCGCTTGATAGGAGCGGGAATATTCGCGAGCGCGAGAAGATTGCGAAGGAAATTGTGAAAACGAGCGAATCGATTCGCAAGAAACATCGCGCTTAGAAGACCGTTAAGATCGAGGAGGATATCGTGTTGGACAGGCACTTTAGACCTCTCATCAGGCCGCTACAAAAGATCGTCGACAACTCTAGCTCGATCGCGGTGAAGAACGAGCCGGGGAGTAACGCCGATGCGGGGATCGAAGCGTTATCCATCCAGAAGCGTGAGGAGGAGGATGCGACACCGAAAAAGAGAAAACGATCCGACGTCTAGTCGGATCGCTCACCGACATCTCATACATCAAAACGATTGGACGCTCCACTGGGTGTACCGCCGATAACCTCTACACCGTCCGCGACGGTGAGAACCGTACCACCTACGATGCCCGAATTACTCGCGAGTGAGGGCGAGGATGTTTTCGAAACCACGGACGACTCGCTCGTGACGTCCGTTCGAAATCAGTTGCAAACGCGGGAGTGTCGAGAAACGTTGCGGAATCAGTTAGGTCAACTGGACCAAAAGTACATCTGGCCCGTCCTGAGCGGCGATCGAGAGAGTGGTATAGACACCGTGTACGGTGTTTATCTCGACAAGGATGGAATGATGTTTGGTAATAAACGTTTTGACATGGACAACGCAGATAACATAATTATCGACGGCGTACGTGTCGTAACTCGAAACCGAATAACGTAATTACGACCTATAAAAGTAAAAAAGGAGCACAGTGCAAATTCAGCACTTCGTAAGCTGTTGCGCGCGCTCCCGCGATTAAATGCAAGATATGCAATTCGTTGCAATATGCAATTAAGACATCGCGACCTAGTACCGAAAAATCACCTACTTTCGGACCATAAAAAGAGAGATAACGAGTACCTTGGAGCCGTATTCCGAAACTAAGTGGTGACGCGTATACTTGAAGAAACTGTGAGATTTTGTAAACGCCGACATTGTTACATCGCCAAAGCATCACCAAACCGAACTCTACGATGCGCTGTACAAATAAATCCTTTTTGCACGGAATCTCTGCCTCGTGTTTCTCGACACTCGGAGTCCCAACTCCTAAGACTAGCCACAACCGCTGACCGTGCAGAAGCAACGAGTAAGCGAAAGAAGAATGCGTATCATCGTTATATTGTAAGTCAAAAAAATTGTACAATAAAATAGCGTGAATGTCGGCACAACCGAAAAGAGTTGCGTTCCACCGACCGCGATTTTTAAGCGTACCAGCGCGACTAACAAATAGATTCGGTTTAGTAACCCCCGTACAAGTAATTGAAAGAGCGGCCCGCGACATTCGCGATAACGTACGGAGAAATTTAGATAACCATTTTTCAGGCGAAAATTCACCCGAATTAGGATCTCGCGAGCTAGAAATAAATCAAGCAGCGGAAAACACACTCCCTCCTAATAATAATAATAACATAATAGAAGTAGACGGACTTGATGAACGTGTTGCCGTTAGGAGAAATTACTCTCCCGTATCATACGATAGTAGCATCTTCGAAGCAAATAACGAAGAAAACATGCAACGTAATCCATTACCGTCAACTGTCCCCCCCGACGACGTTGATAGAGAAATAGAACACTTGCGAGCACAGGCTAGAAATAACGCCGCCGCGGATTATGAAGACGCCGGACGTCCACTCGAAGATCCGAGCAATGCACTGATAATCGAAATCGTGCAAACCGTTCGAGAAATGCGAGAAGAAATAACAGAATTACACGAGCAAATACACGATCTACGCACAAATCGGGAAGATTTAAATAGAACGCGAACGATACCGAATGACACTAATCTTGATGTCACATACGGACGAACACTTAACGATGTTCGAAATCAATCGGCACCTTTAAACGGTAATTTACGATTAAAAGAAGCAAGAGATATGATTCCGGAATTTGACGGAAATTCACAAGCTAAACTTAAAGAATTTTTAAGCGCATGTTCATACGCGATAAAAAATATTAATCCCGCAGATGAAAAAACATTATTAGAAGCAATACTTTGCACGAAGCTAAAGGGAAAAGCTATGGTAGACTTTGAAACGCGAAATATAAACAGTTTCGGACAGTTTAAAAAAGAACTTGAAATCTGCTATTTAAGCAAGAAGAGCATTACTCACTTGCAAATTGAGTTTAACTCCTTAAAACAAAAAGCCGGCGAGAACGCCAGAGCATACGGGTTTCGCGCTGACAATTTGGCCATGG